GTCCGGCTGTCCCCAGGGTCCGGCTGTTCCCGGGGCTGTGCCGGGAGTCCGGCTGTCCCCAGGGTCCGGCTGTTCCCGGGGCTGTGCCCAGGCTCTGACTGTTCCTGGGGATCGGCTGTGCCCAGGGTCCGGCTGTTCCCAGGGGATCCACGGCGCCCCAGGAGCGGCTGTACCCACGGACACGGCTGTTCCCAGGCTCTGACTGTTCCCGGGATCCAGCTGTGCCCAGGGTCTGACTGTGCCCGGGGTTGGGCTGTTCCCAGCATCCAGCTGTGCCCAGCATCCAGCTGTGCCCCGGCTCTGACTGTTCCCAGGAATCCAAATGTTCCCGAAATCCGGCTGTTCCCAGGGACCGACTGTGGCTAGATCCAGCTGTTGCCAGGATCCGGCTGTGCCAGGATCCAGATGTACCAGGATCTGACTGTTCCTGGTGTCCCCTTGTCCCCAGACTCCGACTGTTCCCGGACTCCGGCTGTTCCCAGGCTCCGGCTGTTCCCTGGGTCTGGTTGTGCCCATGGAGGCTGTTCAGGAGACACGGCAGTCCCTGGTGTCCGGCTGTTCCCAAATTCCAGCTGTTCCCAAATTCCGGCTGTTCCCGGTGTCCCCTTGTCCCCAAACTCCGGCTGTTCCCGTGTCCGGCTGTTCCCAGTGTCTGGCTGTTCCTGCTCTCCGGCTGTTCCTGTGTCCGGCTGTTCCCACCCCCCCCAGTGTCCCCAGTCCTCCCAGTACCCCCCCCCTTCCCGGCTTGGTCTCCATGGCAACCGCCAAGGGCAGCTCCAGAGCGGGGGGGGACCGGTGACACCAGTAACAACCAGTAACCACCAGTCTGAACCAGTAACAACCAGTAACACCAGTACACCAGTACACCAGTGACACCAGTACACCAGTACACCAGTGGCACCAGTGACACCAGTACACCAGTACACCAGTAACACCAGTACACCAGTACACCAGTGGCACCAGTGACACCAGTACACCAGTGGCACCAGTGACACCAGTAACACCAGTCTGAACCAGTAACAACCAGTAACACCAGTACACCAGTACACCAGTGACACCAGTAACACCAGTGACACCAGTCTGAACCAGTAACACCAGTGACACCAGTAACACCAGTGATACCAGTGACACCAGTAACCCCCCAGTGACACCAGTGACACCAGTAACAACCAGTAACCACCAGTCTGAACCAGTAACACCAGTGGCACCAGTGACACCAGTAACACCAGTACACCAGTAACACCAGTACACCAGTAACACCAGTGACACCAGTGACACCAGTACACCAGTAACACCAGTACACCAGTACACCAGTACACCAGTAACACCAGTACACCAGTGACACCAGTACACCAGTAACACCAGTACACCAGTAACACCAGTCTGAACCAGTAACACCAGTACACCAGTAACACCAGTCTACACCAGTTATCAGCTCCCCCAGCCCGCGGCTCTGCTCCCTGTGCCGGCCACGCCCTCCAGTGCCGCCCAGTGTCCTCCCAGTATCTTCCCAGTACAGACCCTGGCACTCCCCGTCCAGCCCTGCACCCTCGGTGCAGACCAGTAACCCCAGTCCACACCAGTAACCCCAGTCCAAACCAGTTCCCCCAGTCCACACCAGTAATCCCAGTGCAGACCAGTAACCCCAGTCCAAACCAGTAACTCCAGTCCAAACCAGTAACACCAGTCCAAACCAGTAACCCCAGTCCACACCAGTAACCCCAGTCCAACCCAGTCCCCCCAGTCCCAACCTGCACCCCAGTTCCTCCCAGTCTGCCCTAGTGGCCTCCCAGTTTGTCCCAGTACTGCCCAGTCTGCCCATTGTCCCCAGCACCTCCCAATCCATCCCAGTCCATCCCAGTTCTCCCAGTCCATCCCAGTTCTCCCAGTCCATCCCAGTCCATCCCAGTCCTCCCAGTCCATCCCAGCACTTCCCAGTTCCTCCCAGTCTGTCCCAACGCCCCCCAGTTCCCCCTGTGCTATTCTTCCCAGTGCTCCCAGTCCATTCCAGTTCCCCGGGGTCCATCCCAGTCCATCCCAGTTTCCCCAGTCCATCCCAGTGCCTCCCAGTCCCCCGTAGCCCTGGCTGATTCCCCTGCTCCGTGTCCCCCCGTGTCCCACCCGTGTCCCACCCGTGTCCCCCCGTGTCCCACCCGTGTCCCCCCCCGTCGGCGGCGCCGTGGCGGGGGGCGTCGCTTTC